ATGAGTGGAACAACAAATCAACATTTCTCTCTCTCTCTCTTCCCCCCTTTCTCTCTCTCGCATATCAATAATAAATTTTAAAAAAATTTTAAAAGCAACTGCAGTGAAATGTGTTTGATATAATTCTTTTTTTGTGGGTTAAGAAAGTCTTGCTTTACCTTCCTCCCTCAAGTGAAAAATTTTTAAATATTTTTACTCTGATTATAAAAGGAATGTGTTTGTCGTAAATGAGTCAAACAATACAGAAACCCATTGTGCTAAAACTTCAAGCTCCCTCCCAATTCTAACTTCCCAGGAATAACCTCCATAGCAAATGATATGTGACCCTCCAAACTTTTTAAGGTAAATATTGTACATATAAATATCCATACAATACATATGGTATGACATAGTGGTTAAGAATCCAGGATGACTTTGAAAATCAACTTTTAACTTGAACATTTTTGGTTTTCTTAAATATAAAATGAGCATAAGTAATAATTGCTATTTTAATTTTTTTACTTGTATGGACTCTTACTACATAGAATTTCTATAAATGTACTGTTTTAAAGTTTAATGTTTTAAAAATATTTATAGATTCACAGGAAGCAGCAAGAATTGTACAGAAAGTTCTGGTATGCCTTTATATATCATATTCATATTTTTGTAACATCCACCCAAAACAATATATAAACCATTTTCATTATCCCAGAAAATTTCCTTGATCCCTTTCTGGACAAATGATTTCCCCAACAACAGCAACCACTTCAAACACCAAAAATTAGTTTTGTCTGTTTCTTGGCTTCATACAAATGGAATTGTATAATATACTTCATATTCTTTTGTGTCTTTCTTCTTTTGCTTAACATAACTGTTTTGAGACTCATCCATGTTGTTGAGTGTATCAATAGTTCATCTTTCTTTTTGTTGTAGAATTCCATTGTATGAATATATCATAATTTGTTATCCTATTCTCCTGTGGAAGGACATTTGGATTGTCTGTACTTTGGGGCTGTATATGAATAAGGCTGTTATAAACATTTGTGTACAAGTCATTTTGTGGACATTTTTTCAATTTTCTTAAGTAAGTAAGAGTAGAATTGCTGGGTTATATGGTAGGTATATGTTTAATTTTATTAGAAATTACCAAACGGTTTTCCAAACTGCTATTCCATTTTACGCTCTCACCTGGAATGTATGAGAGTTCCAGCCGCTGAACTTCCTCGCTATCACTTACCGTTGTTAATGTCTTTTATTTTAGCCATTCCAGTAAATGTATAATTTTAATTTGCATTTCCCTTATGGCTAACAAATTCCAAAGTAGTTGAAAATAACCTTTGGTCAGAAAATAGATCACAGGGGGTATATGAGTATTTTAAACTGACTGAAAATAAAAACAAAACATAAAATTGTGGGATGTAGCAAAAGCAGTATGCTTTTAATGCTTTACTAGAAAGTGCTTATATTAAAAAAAGGAAAAGTGTAAAATTGGTGATCTAAGATCCTACTTTAAGAAGCTAAAAAAAAAAAAAAGAACAAATTATATCCAAAATAAGAAGAGAGAAAATGAGGGCAGAAGTCAATAAAATAGAAAATAGAGAAAATACAAGGTAAAAATTTGGTTCTTTGGAGGATTAATAAAATTGATAAATTTCTACCAAGATTTATCAAGGAAAAAATAGAGAAAACACAAATAACCAATATCAGAGATACAAAAAGAGACATCATTATATGCTACAGATGATAAGAGGAAAAATAAGATATTATTATGAATAAGTTTATTCTTTTTTTTTAAAGAAATACCTGATACTTTCTTTTTTTTTTTAATTAAATTTTTTTTTTTTTTTTAGAGAGGCAAGGGGAGAGAGAGAGAGGGGCGGGGGGCGGGGGAGAAACATCAATGTGCGGTTGCTGGGGGTTATGGCCTGCAACCCAGGAATGTACCCTGGCTGGGAATCGAACCTGGGACACTGAGTAAGTTTATTCTAATCAACAACTTAAATGAAACGGAGAAATTCCTTTAAAAACACAAAGTATCACAATGGGCACAGGAAGCAAAAAGAAAAACCTAAATACCCCATAGTTATTAAAGAAATTGAACTTATTATCTAACACTTTCCACAAAGAAAATTCTAGCCCTGACCTGTGTGGCTCAGTTGGTTGTGCGTCTTCCCTCAAAGTGAAAGGTTGCTGGTTGGATCCTAAGTCAGGGCACCGGCCTGAGTTGAAGGTTTGGTCCCAGTAGGGGCCTGTTCCAGAGGCAACCGATTGCTGTTTCTCTCTCACAGCAATGTCTCCCTCTCTTTCTCCCTCCCACTCCCTCTCTTTAAAAAGCAAAAAGTTAAAAAAATTAATTGAGCACATTTGGTGGCATGCAAAATTTAAAGAAAAGAAGACTACAGGATCAGTTGTCTTCACTGGTGAACTCTACCACATATTTAAGGAAGAAAAAAATAGTCATATACAAAGTCCTTCAGAGCACAGAGGAGGAAATACTTTCCAATTCAGTATTACTTAAAAAAAAAAAATCCTCACTTGATGGTATATTTACTAATTTTAGAGAGGAAGGGAGAGAAAGAGAAACCTTGACGTTAGAGATAAACATTGATTGGTTACCTCCCTTACACATTCCAACTGAGGATCAAACCTGCAACCTAGGTGTGTGCCCTGATCAGGAATTGAACTCACAACCTTTTGACGTACCAACCGAGTCACCCAGCTAGGGCTTCCCAATTTATTGTGAGGCCAGAATAACCTTGACATAAAAATTTGATAAAGATATTACAGAAAATTAAAAATGGATATCTTTCATGAACATAGATGCAAAAATCTGATCACTCTTTGATGAAGCAATATCATTTCTAGAGTTTACCCTAAAGAAGCATCCTTGAAATTGTACAAAGATTAACTACAGAATATCCACTACAGTAATATTTTTAATAGTAAAAATTGGAAACAACTTAAAATATCCCCAAAGTGTGACCAGTTAGGTAAACATGGTACATTTATATGATAGAATATGTAGCTATTAAAATAGGATTGAAACATGAATTGAAAAAGAAAAACTCAATATATATTGTTTATTTTAAAAGTAGATTCTAGGGCCCTGACTGGGTTGCTCAGTTGGTGAGAATGCTCCCAATACCCCAAGGTTGGGGGTTCGGGAACATACAAGAATCAACCAATAAATGCATAAATAAGTGCAACAACAAATTGATGTTTCTCTCTCTCACAAATCAATTAAAAAAAAAAAATCTCAACATCAAGCCACCATAGCTTTAGGGGGGAAAAAAAGTAGATTCCAAAGATTACAAGTGCTCTCACCCCTCTGCCAAAGTGAGATGGATATGTTACCTTGACTGTAGTAAATCACTTCACTGTGTTTACGTATATCAAGTCATCATGTTGTACATCTTAAATATATACAACTTTTATTTTTAAATAAAGGTAAGTTACCAAATAGTACTATGATTTGATGCTTTTCAAAGAAAAATATGTATATTTATATGTTAGGAAAAAAGACTGGAAGGACATAAACCAAATGTCAAAAATTATCATTGGGTGATGAGAGTATAGTTGACTTTTATTTCCTTCCTTTTGCTTCTCTGTATTTCTTGCACAAATATATGATGCTTTTCTAATACAAATTGTTGCAGAAAAAAATGAAAGTATTACCAATGGACATTTTTCCACTTCTCCCCTCATATTTATTAGGACAAAAAAATGTGGGGCTGTGGAATGTTTCTTTTTGACTTCTAACCTTGAACACACCCATCCTGGAGGACTGGATACAGTTTTTCCCTCCTCTGACTCAGAGTTCACAGGGGCCCTGCCTATTGGCCTAACCTTCTCTGCTAAGATGAGGTAGTATAAATTTTCTAACTGCCCTACTGTGTGACTTTTGGCAAGATCCTTGTCTTAGGGGCTCCAGTTTCTCCTCTTAAAATTCATAAATTAGAATCAATGATCTTCAAGTTCTCTACCAGACAAAGGAAAAAACACAGAAAACCTCGGGGTACACCTGAGAATGTGGGCCCCCTACTCCCAGGAAAATATTCCTTACTAATCTCCCATGTGAGTGTCTCCAGCCAGATAGTAAGCACCTCCCAGTCTAGGCCTGGCCTTACATCTCACTGATCTTGGTGCAGGGCTGGACGGAGTAGTTGCTAGGTAAATTAGCTCTTTGCTTTCACCTCCTAAAAGACAATTCCAGAATAGGTGTTCTAGGCTTGCCCCTGATGATGAGCTGAACCAGAAGGATGGTATTAACTATTGGAGCATACACTGTGCAAGTCCTTCTCTCCAATTCCCCCGCCCCCAGGTAATAGGTGCAGTACTTGTTTGTAACAATTCACATAGCAGAGTGAGGTCTGCACACTTCTATGGCTGAGAGACATTTAAGCTGTTATCCAGCGGAGGCCTTGATTTGGAAAACCGATCGCAAGACTGCCCGCGTTATGCGAGAGTACACATTCCCCGTAGGTGCCCAGGCTGTTACCACGCAGTTTTGGGAAAGGGATCTGGCGAGTCCCAACTTTGCCAGTGTGGAGCTGTGTGACCTTGGACAAGTCCCTTCCTCCTTCAGGAACGTTGCAGTGGGGGTAAGTGTCACCTCCCGGGTTGGTCTTCGCTATGAGGACGGTAAAATGACCTGGAAAATATTCCCCTTCAAACGTTTTTTACCTCCACTGACACTCGCGTGGGGGACCAGAAGCAAAGGACTCAAGGGTCGTGGCGCGAGAGTACCCTCCACCCGCACCAAGGTTCTCGCGAGAAGTCCTCTCTGAGCTTCGCGGCGTTATCCTCTCGGCAGCCGAGGCCGCGACGGCGCGTTTAAGATTTCGCTGGAGCGGCTCGTATCCCTCCGCCGCCTACGCTGCCCAGCCCTCCTTCCTCCGGTCCGCCAATCCCCGCGCCTCCCGACCTGCCCCTCGGCCTGGGCCCACCCCGCGCTCGGGCGGCCCCACCCCGGCGGCGCCGCCCGCCTGCCCGCCCGCGAGTCCCTCGGTCCACCTGCAGCAGGCAGTCGGTCCCTCCAGCTGTCCGACCGAGCGGCGCCGACCCAGCCTGAGGCCTGGGCTCTGGCTCCCCGGCGGAGGGATTCGCGACGGCTGAGGAGGCGGTGCTGAGTTAAAGAGGAAGAGGCCACTACCGCGGCGGCGGCGGCGGCGGCTGCTCGGACTGCAGCGCATAAAGGGGCCGCCGCCGGGTGATGCGGTGACCGCTGCGGCAGGCGCAGGAGCCCAGTGGGCCTCGGCCCTCAGTAGGTCCCGCTGAACGCGCGCTTCCGAGCTCTCCATCTTCTCCAATCAACCCGCGGTCACCGAGGCGGCCTCGCGCCCCCTCGCCCCTTCCCCGTCCCTCCCCTGTCCCCGTCCCCGCCCTGGGGGTTGCCGCCACCCGCCTCCCACGATGGCTCTAAAGAGAATCCACAAGGTAAGCGGTAGGAGGTCGGCCGTGCGTTTGGGCCGCTGGGCGGGCAAGCTGAGCGGGCTGCGGCCTGCACTTTCCGCCGTCGCCAAACCGGGCTTGCGGCCTCTTCGGACCCAGCTGCGGGCGATGTCCTCGCCGGGCGGCCTTCAGACACTCCACTCCCAGTGATGGCGCCCGTGGAGGCCCCGGCGCGCAGCCCGCACCTAGGCCCGAGGTGCGCTCGTCCGCTCAGCGTTCCTCCCGGCCTCCTTCCTGGTCCCTGCCTGGTATGGAGTCCCAGGGCCTCTCTCCGGCCTGGGACTGCTGCGCTAGTGGGCCATTGTCCCGGCCTGCCGGGAGTGGGGGCTGGGACCGGGGCATTGGGCGGCCACTTCGACAGAGGTCAGGAGGGCTCGCCCCATCTCTGCATCTTCTCCACCCCCACTCCCCTTTCCCTGCTCTTTCCACAGAACCGCCTGAGCTACTCTTATCTCACAGTGACGGAGGACGCCTTTTTGTCCGATCCACAAGTATTTCTTGAGTTCTCTTACCTCTTGGCGGCCGCACACTTCGGCCCACTCTACTTGTCCAGAAACTGTTAGAGTAGGAAGTTTAGAAGGAAAAAAAAACCCAAAACAACAAAAACCATGAGTCTTTTGAGGGAGGAGGGAAGTAGAGGGAGAAGCAATTTATTCCATGAGGTTGCCAAATTTAGTCAGAAACTAACACTTCATTTTTAAAGGAATGAATGTAATAGAAAAGCTGTTAAATCGACAGGGGTATAGGTAGAATCCTGAACATTGTAAACCACTGGAGAAATCGCACAATGTCCTTCTACAGCTTAAATTAGGTATCCCTTCTACAGGGATACCCTTTTAACCTAGAAGGGATTTTGTTAGATTTTTCCATTAGAAAGGACTTCTTTGCCCTTTAAGACGAAGAGTTATTCTTTTAGTTATTTATACGGAAGTTTTCCTGATACTGCTTCTAGAATACAGGCTTGTCTTAAAAATTAGGGTTTCTCTCCCCCAGTGTTATAACTTTCTAGTGCCTTTCACTATAATTTTTTTTAGATGTGGGAAAGTGCCACTGGTGATTTTTGTTTGGTGTTTCACTTGGCTGTATTAAACCTAGTCACTTGGAAGTAGATGCTGGAATTATCTGTCTGCCCTGAAATATGGGATGGAGATGCAAGGGGAAGAGAACCCATTTTCACTTTGCCTTAAACTAAATGAAAATGTAGATTGTTGGACAGTTTAAATACTTAAGCTCAGCAATTGGTTCTCATTTCATTCTTGTTGAAAGACCTTTAATGTGAAATTAATCCCAATAGTTACTGTAAATTAGGTTAGATCTTTACCAAATTCTTTTAACTCTTTTGACTTACAACAAATTGAAAAAGGCAGACTTGAGAAAGAGTAGATCTTGTACTGAAGTGAAGGAAGTTATTTGTTAAAAGAAGCTTGAACTTTAAGCAAAGATCTCAAAAGGACCATTCAGGGAGCAACAGCACACTGAGCAATGGTAATCCAAGTAAAAATATATATGTATTTTAAAGGCTTTTAGGAGTTCCTAGGTTCTTACAGAGAGTAATTGGGAAGTTGGGAGATTGTACTGTAGAAAATTGTGCTCTTATTTTAAAACCTTAAGAGAAGTATGTATAATGTGATAATTTAGTCAAGAAATGTAGCCTTTAATCTCTACATTGGTTGATACATGTGTTATGTTTTTTCAGAGGGGAATAGCATTCAAAACATGCATTTTAATTTTTAAGTATACTTGCCCCCAGTAGTAACGGTTTCTTTTGAGTTACCTGCCTCCTCATGGGTAACTCAATCGGGATTTTCCTCTGGCATATGCCCTTATAAACATTTTGATAAGGAAAATCAACTTTAGACAATGATAAATTGAACTTTTGAAGCTCAGTATTAACCTCCCCACCTCCCTGGTTTATTACCCAGAACCCTCCTTCAGTATGGTTCAATTTCTGACACTGCCAAGGATTATAAAAGTAACTTTTATTTTTGGTACACTTGTTAATAAGATTGTGAAAACAAAATGGAGATTTTTTTCTCCCCAAACTTTATATATGACACCAATTTTAAGTTGCAGACTTACCTAGGTATGGATGAGATCAATCCTTTCTTATCCTCAGTCCTGTTAATGTACTCACAATGGAATCCCTAAAAGACTTAGGTGGCTTATGTAATTGACCTTGGTCTTGAGTCTTCCCAATTACCATTCTCTGAAAAAAATAGTTCTACTTAAATACACTTTAAACTATCATGAACTGTTGCACCTGGGTTTTAATAAGATTTTGCTAAGAAAAAGTACATTTGACATGTGACGTCTTGAGGAATACAGTATCTTGTTTCTCTGACAGAGGGAAATAGTGTTCTGTGAATTTGACAGTGCCATGTATTTTTTTGAAAAATCTTTTGATGGACTTCACTTTTATATACACTTTAAAGTCTCCTGACCTATGCTTTAACAGTGTACCAGAAAGGGTCGTTATGAATATCCAGTGTAGTACTGTGCAGGGATTAGGACCCTCTGGGGTTGTTTGTATGTATACCAAATGGCCCCACCCTGCTATATTTTGAGGTTTTCTGCTGACATTATAGGTCTTGAGCTTTGATTTTGATGCTTTGAGTGTTTGCCTCTAGCAGCACCACCCCCAGTCTTTTTCCAGTTGGCTGCATCTCATCTGTTGTAGGCTGGGAAACCAGATCACAGAGCTTATTAAAATTATGTCTAAAATAAGATCCAGTAGGCTCTTGAGTGAAGAGGGAGAGCTTCATGTGTTCTGTGAACTGTGTGGTCTCTTTCGCTGATCAGAGACCTTTTAAACTCGCTTCCTGTTTTTCTTCTTTTGTTAGATGCAGGAGGCTTTTTCGTGCTCTTACAGTATCATAATATTGAAATATATAAGGTTAATTCCTTTATTCTTGGGAACACTAAAAGGCTGGATATCTTGATTCTTTGAGGAGTTGAAGACAGACTGGTTGGGATACTAGAAACTCTTTTCTTAACAGTAATAGTGCCTTGTACATTTTAATGGTATTCTGCTAGCTGTAGTTAACATTTGTTATACACAGCTTTAATGCTAGGATCATCACGTGATTTAGTCTATTTTTATGGTAAAGATTTAATTAAAAAATTCCAGTTACAGTTGACATACAATATTTTTGTTAGGTGTACAACATAGTGACTAGACATTTATATACCTTACAAAATGATCACCCTGATAAGTCTAGTATGTATCTTGACACCAAACATAATTATTACAATATTATTGTCTATATTCCCTATGATATAGTTCACATCTTCGAGACTATTTTTGTAACTGGCAATTTGTATTTCTTAATCCCTTTAACATTTTTTCACCCATTCTCCCCCAATGCCCTTCCCAGCGACCATCAATTTGTTCTCAACTATGATAAAGGTTTTTATGGCTAGCTTCTTTTAAGGCCCTTTAAAAGACAATAACTAACTTAATTAATTAATTAATTAATTTCTCAGTAAAATAGACATTTCAAACTGATGGCTATAAAAGCCAGGCACGCAACCAAAGTGAGCTAAGAGAATGGGGTGGCGGGGGCAGGGTGGAAGAGCTAGAAATTGCTTGTGCTATCAGAAGAGGGCAGCTGCTACCTAGCTTTCTCCAAATATTGCTATTGACAGAATCTGTGGACCCCGGGTTGCCAGATCGATCAATCGATCGATCGATCTTTCTTCACTTAACCTCCCTCCCTCCCTCCCTCCCTCCCTTTCTTCGAAGCCACAAATCCAGATTTTTGGCAGCCAATTCAAATTTTAAAACAATCACCATACTTTTTTGATAGACACCAGTTTAATATGTGCATTGGAAGTAGCAAAGGATTAAGGTTCAATAAGTAATCAGGAGTATAAGGATTAAATCATTTAAACCACATTTACTATATTTTTAAAAGTTTCAAAGTATTGCTTTATGTATATGGACAAGATTAGGTAGTTTACGTAAACTTCCAATTCCTTGCTGAGATTCTGTATGGTTATGTGTGTGGTTATAGGGAAAGCAAATTGAGTGGATGCATTGATCCCATAGTAGAAATTTACATCTTAATCTTAAGATGTGTTTATGTTATGAATTATCTTTCTGTAGACTACATACTTTTAAAATGTCTAAGACTGGGAAATTACTAAAGAATGATTCTTAAGGATATGGGAAAGGAGCTGAAACACTGTAACTAATTTACTAAATTTAAAAAGATATTGTTTTAAAATACTATACTAGAAGTGTGATACCATATATTTTTACCAACCCTTACCAAATCAGAGGTAAGGATTGAGTGAATTCCAGTCAAAATGATGAAACATTTGGAAATAGCCCTGTGGAGTACTGAGAACTTTAATGTAATGAATGGTTGGCTGAAGATGCCTGAATTAGTTCTGTCTTGGAAAGCAAAATACATGGTCTGGTCTTACTCCAAAAGATAAGCTTGTTGAAATCTTCAGGAAGAGTGTTTTTGTTTTAAAGAAAAAGATGCTTTACTTTATAAAAGATTCATTGAATCGAGAAACTTTCTTTGCATCTTCAAGTTTGCTATTTAAATGTAATTTAAACAGCCATCATTGAACAATAACTATTAGTAAATCCAGGTTTTCTTTAAAGTCTCCTTGTGAGTATTACTGTACTGTTGACGGACAGAGGAAGTGTTGACAAAGTCCAGTTTTGGATATTTTAGTCCGTAGAGAGAGTGCTGCTAAAATATCCTAGGTAATTTCCAGGACAGGAATACCTGACTCATGCCTGATGTTGCCAGGAACATCTGCAGCCTCATCCCAGAAATGCAGAAGCACACCTGTTTTTTCTGTAGAAATACAGCTTTGCTGGTTAGGTTCCTAGGCTAACCTTCAAAATCATAATAAACAGTGACACAGAAAAATAAAGTATCATTTGTTTTTTTGTCTGCAGAGTCAATTGAAATTCCAAATACAAGAATCATAAAAATTTTAGCACTGCAATACATCTCGAAGCTATT